GATCCCTGAGCCCCAGGATTCTTGAGCTTGGCGTGTTCCCTAAACTTCTGCTGAAGTCTTTCAAGCCAGCAGAACAGAATGGTGAAGCTTTTTCTGGTTCAGAGGAGTTGGAAGCCCAGTTCCAAGGAAGGGAAGGGGAAGGGGGATATACAGGGTCAGGATAATGGAACCTGGGGTTGTTGGCATAGCACTCAGCTGCACCCACCTGCTAGTTTGAACAGCCATTTTCTCCCAGTTGCTCTGGGTTTCTGGGAGTGAATCTCCCTTTCTAAGAGGTAAAAACCACCACTGTATCCTCTCCCAAAGGTTTTCAGCTGGGCACAGTGCCCACACCTGTAAAACCAGCTACTCTAGAGGCTGAGGTGGGAGGATTGAAAGTTCTAGGCTAATCTGAGCAATATTTAGCAAGACTGTCTCAAAATAAAAAATAAAAAGGGCTGAGGATTTAACTCAGTGTAGAGCATCCTGATGCTGGGGGGGGGGGGAAAAGTATTGGGGGGGGGGGGGGGGGCCTTGCAAAGGATCCCTTCACCACAGTTCATAGGAATGGGATAAGAAGAAAAGTCAGTAGCTTCCCCCACCACACATCAAAGCCACAGGGTTCCTGACTTTGGGGAGAACTTACAGTTTCCTGGAGTGTCTGAGCAGCTCCATCCCAACTGGTTACAGAAGCCCAGGGTTTCCATCGGGCATTAAACTTTACCTGAGGGCCTCAGGGCAGCTGCTTTGTTGAGGCCCAGCTGCCTTCTGGTTAGATCACACCTGACAAGCTGTGGGCTGCCTCCCTGAGACTCGAGCCTGTTTCTGCCCCGTGATCAACATTCACTGTGGGCTCCAAACACAAGTAGCTTGGATCATGAGGGATTGGGGAAAATGATATCCCTCCAAAGATGGGTAGAGCAGTGTTTCCTTCCTGGGGGCTGAGAGCTGGGAGCAGGTCAGAACCCAAGTGCTTCCTAGATCTCTTGCCTCATGCCTTAAAATGTCATTGGGGGAAAAGTGTCAGGATCAGGGTGACCACTGAATGAAAATCTCCATTAAGACACTTACTATTAAGGGAGAGCCGTTAATTATACTGGGAAACACACATACACGGGACAGTTAAAGGACCATCCTGGGCATGGTGCTAGATCATCCATTGTTTTTTTTTTTTTTTTAATTTTTTTTAGTTCGTTGACAGACCTTTATTTTATTCATTTATTTATATGCGGTGCTGAGAGTTGAACTCAGTGCCTCATGTATGCAAGGCAAGTGCTCTACCACTGAGCCACAACCCCAGCCCTAGATCATCCATTGTAAAGGTTAATTTGAATTGTCAACCTGATTGGATTTAGAGATGCAGATGATTAAGAGTCTTCTGGGTACATCAACGAGGGAATGTCTAGGAATGATTGGCATGTGGGATTGTGAACTGGAGACCTCCCTAAGCGTGGGCAGCACCACCCGATGGTGGTGCTTGGATGGAATAGAAGTTGGGAGAACAAGAAAGCAGCTGCAGATGCAAGCTCAAGTCTTCTTGAATGGTTCTTGATTGCTGCTGTGATTGCCTGAGGATATCAGACTTCTTCACTCTTCCAAAGTGGACTCTGCCAGGGAGTTTCTAGAAGCCTTTGGTCTCAGACTAAGGTAGTGCCATTGATCCCTCTTGTTCTGAGGCTTCAGCCTCTTGGACTGTGGAGCTACTGGTTCCTCCAGCTCTCCAGTCTGCAAACAGCCATTGTGGACTCTCCAGCTTCTGGTCTTTTAAGCCAATCTAATAAATCCCCCTTTTATAATCATACTTCTTATTGATTCTGTTCCTCTAAAGAACCATAATATATCCATCCTCAGTGAGAAAACAAACCAAATAGCAAGAGAACACAGCCATCACCATTACTCACTAATTTCCCACTCCCCCTCATATGATTACTGAACAAAAGCATAAACTTCACATCAGAACAGGTTAAACTGTCCATTTCTGGTGGGGATGCTGAACTGGCAGGCTATAAAACTAGGAATCCTTTGTCTCTCTCAGGCTGTTCGCCCTGGTACAGTAAGCTCTGTCCCTTTGGTTTGTGCTCAAATCAAAAGAAAATCCTGCTGATTGTCTTTGTTACATGGGAACAGCCAGGACCTCAGGGTGGGAACACAGATTTTTCAATTAATTATTAAAAAACTGCTCACAGGAGGTAAGGAAGTGGAGAGTTTCTCCTAAGTAGAAAAGCGTGCACAAAGGACCAGGTAGCGGGGCAAGGTGTGGCGTGCCTATAATCCCAGCAGCTCCAGAGGCTGAGAAAAGAGGATTGCAAGTTCAAAGCCAGTCTCAGCAACTTAGAGAGGCCCTAAACAACTCAGTGAGACCTTGTCTCTAAATAAAATATGAAAAGGGCTGGATATGTGACTCAGTAGTTAGGCACCCTTGGGTTCCATCCCAGGTACCAAAAAGGAAAGGCTGGTGGGAGGATCAGGTACAAGCAGGTGATTCTGCAATTCTACATTTGACCTGCAGGGGGCAGCACTTCTCTAGCAATGACCACAGCTATACTTAAGAGATACCGAAGGAAAATTTAATTGGCCAAGGAATGAGTTTTGTTTAAAAAAAAAAAAAAGTATATATATATATATATATATATATATTTCCAGTAAGCAATTTCCACCCCTACATTTTTTCATAAAGAGATGCTCTTCCTTTTTTCTTTGTATGGCGTCAGGTATATAGTAAACTTTAAACAAGTAAACATTTATGGATTGATCAGTTGGTTAAAGATAACCCAGATCTGCCTGAGGCATGAAAAGTTCAGGGTGAGAGTAGGAAGAAATGAACTAGGGATTGGTGAATGTGCATGGAAAATCACTGGTGTGGTTTGAATGCTGGTCCCCTCCCAAATTCACGTTAAAATTTAATGGCCATTTTAACAGTACTAAGAGGTGGGACCTTTGAGAGGTGATTAAGGCATGAGGACTCTGTCCTCTTGAATAGATTAATGTCATCATTTCAGGAGCCAGTTATCATGGGAGTATAACCTGCTTATAAAATGATGAGTTGGACCCCCACTTGCTCTTCCCTCCTGCCCTTCCACTATAGGATGACACCATGAGAAGGCCTTGGTGAAATGCCAGCATCTGGATATGGGACTTCCCAGTCTCTAAAACAGTGAGTCAATTAATTTCTACTGTTTATAAATTATTGAGTTTCTGGTATTGCTATAAAATGGACTAAGACAAGCACTTTCCTTTCTGGTTAATAGTATGCCCAGGAAAAACAAACACATTTGAAAATTTCCAAAAGGTCTCTCTCCAAGAGCAAGCCATTATTAATTAAATTCTTTAAAAAACAAACAAAAAGTCAGGGATGGTGGCACATGCCTGCCATCCCAGTGACTCAGGAGGCTGAGACAGGAGAAGCACAAGTTCAAGGCCAGCTTCAGCAACTTAAAGAGACTTTGTCTCAAAATAAAAAAAAAATACAAAGGCCTGGGGATGTGGCTCAGGGGTAGAGCGTCCTGGGTTCATTCCCTAGTATTGCAGAAATAAAAAATAAAATAAAAACAAAAGCAGCCATCTTGGTTTTATAAATCTTCCTCCTCATTTCAAGTTCATTCTACATACATATTAGATAGTCAAGTTCCAGGTTTATGCAGGTTTATACATATTTAAAGCTTTTACATTTACACTCAGGTGCATTAATTCCAAAATGCCCAGAGACCACCTAGATTCTATAGAGTAGCTGAAGCCATTCAAAGTCCACCCCCACCTGAGACAGGACCCTGAGTTCCTCCAGGCAGCCCTGAGCGCAGAGTCGGGCAGCCCAGCTGGCCTGGCCAGCCTAGTGGCAGACATGCATATATTCTCAAAAGGAGCACCACTTCTCTTCCCACAGACCAGGCTGTGTGTTCCCAGGGCCTGTACCTTCTGCTGGGACTTGCCCTGCAACCATCTTTCCAACCACAGAATATCTTGGTTTTCTGAACACAGAAAATCGGCATCTTTAATATTACCAGTGTCCTAGAGCACACTGATCCCAGGCAGAGCCTTTTCTAGAGAGACCCACAAACTCAGGAAGCCTGGGCAGGGTGGGCCCAAGAAGATTGTCACAAGTAAAAGACACATTCCAGGGCCCTCGACCTCCTGAAGGATGGTGGTCTTCCACAAAAGCTGCAGATTGGTATTACAGCTTCACTCTTAATAATGTCAAGCCAACCGATAGTTACCGGATTATCACAGGCCCAGGTTCTCCGTGTGCTGGGGTCATGGCTGCATTGCTTTACTGGCTGTCGCCTCTGCAGAGTGAGGAGGCAGAAAGGCAACCAAGCTGGGAGGGAGACATCTGTGATCTAGTGACCAGCACTATGGCCAGGGACAGACACCTCTCTGCAGACCAGTAGATAATGCAGGTGCCTGGGTCACTTTCCACTCCTGAGCTTGCTGTGTGCCATCTGGGAGAGCCTCCAAAGTCACTGCTGGCCCCAGCTCCCAGCCAGGGTCCAGAAGGGACATGGTAGGATCACACTCCTCCCACAGGGTGCTGAGGCTGCATGAGGATGACCTTACCTGAGGAGGGAAACCCATAGGTCCCACAGCTGTGGCCAACCCCAGGAAAAGGGGTACAGTGTCGAGTGTGTGGGGTACTATGAGTTCAGGGATGCTGTCCCCAGAATAGGTGAGGGGGCCTTGGCTGGGGATGTGTTCGAATGCCTGAAGCAGAGAGGGTTGGGAAAACCTGGGTAAAGGGAGTGTCAGGTGTGTGGGGGGGTTCACCTCAGGGAGGTTGAGGCTGTTTGTAACACACGAGGACCAGGGACAAGGCCACAGTCGCAAAGGAGTATGGTGAGCACACAGGGTAGACAGGTAGACCACCCCATACCCTGTACAACAAAGGGATGGTGGCCCCTTCCTCACCTCACTGTGTCAACTGGGCAGCACCCAGCGTGGGCCCACCCAGACCTGGTGTACACCCAAGGAAAGGGTGTGGGGCGTGGCTAAGGGAGGTCACATCCCTGTCCTTTGAGGAGAGGCTGGGTCCCAGGTGGCGCTCTGGTAGGGAGGAGCCTGGGGGAGTCAGTTCTCCCTCTGCGGCCCCACCCAGGAATGACTTGGGGGTGGGAGGAGTGCCCTTCACTTTGCACCCCGGGGAAGCGCAGAGGAAGCTCCAGGCTGGGTGGCCATGATGTGATAGATGGATTCCCGGAAGCGCTGGTCTCGGCTAAGTCGCTTGGCCACCTCCTTGAGCTCCTCAATGTTGTTGGCTTCCAGCTGGGAGGTCATGAAGGACTGGGAGGGCTTCACTGGGGAGACAGGGCCCGAGAGCCCCTGTGAACAGCCCTCTCACCCCAAGGCTGGCCCTCACCCTGCCCCACCCTGCCTCCCTCACTCCCAGCCCTACAGGAGGCTGACTTTCTCCTTGCCCCTTCCTGCCCAGGGGCTTCCCAGGGGCTGCAAGAAAACCAAGGCCTGAGAATTCACTGTAGCTGGTAGAGCCAGGTCCAGGGCCGCACTGCCCAGCCCCAGTGTGGGCCAGTCCTGCTCACTCCCCACCCTGCCCTCTTCCTGCCTTGTCCCCAACAGCCTGTGCCCATCCCACCCCACCAGAGCACACAGACGGCCACACTCACTGTCGTTCCAAGAGGTGCTGGACCGACGCCTATGGAAGCGGCAGCTCTTGATGCGACGCGTGGCCGCCTTGTGGATGTAGACGGAGTTCTTCATGATGACGGGCATCTTGGCCTCCAGCTCCGCGTTCCGGATGCACTCCTCAAAGAACCCTGTGGGCAGGGCCTATTTGACTGCTATCTTCCTTCTGGCTCTGGCCCTCCCGACTAGACCCGCCCAAGGATCCTAATAGGGCTGAGTACAAAATATGTTCATATCACCCCTAAGAGATATTACAGTCACCAACCAAGGGACATCCATTGTCCCTCAAACTACAATCTGCTGCCATCTCAGGGCCAGGTCTACTGAGAACACAGCTGGGCTTTTGCAAAGGGGAAGAAACCTCAGGCTCCCCCCATACCCTCACTCAGCATCAAGGGGCCCCAGCAGGCAGGTGTGTGGAGAAGTGTCCCCAACAACCATGGCCTCGAGCATAGTAGTTCTAGGCTCCACAGCACCTGGATTCAGGCAGGGCCGAGTCCCCAGAGAGAGGCTTACTTTTCAGATGGCTCACATCTGCCCGCATCCTCTCCTCCTTCTCCTTATTCCGCACCTTGGAGTTGAGCCCTTGTTCCAGGCTCCTCAAGGCCCCTTCTGCCTCCCGCAGACGCCTCTCCAGGTCCATGCGGACCTTCACCTCGGCCTGAGGGGAAAAGCAAGCCAGAGAGAAGTTGGGTCCAGAGTAGCAATTGCCATGTTCCCAGAAGCCTTCCCAAACACCCCTGGCTCAATGAGTTTGGATGGAACTTTCCACATCCTGCCTGGGTATCTCACCCTGGACCCAGATGGCCTGGGTTTGGTCTCTGCACCCAGTAGGCATTTATCAGAGATGGAGCAGACTGTCTCCCCTCATGGTGGCTTCATGCCCTGTACCTGGCCAGCTGTTCACATTGGCAGAGTTGATTTGGGCAGCTATTCAGTGAGGTACAGGGCAGGTGGGAGTCTCCAGGTACAGAGAAGCCCCCCCCCCCCAGCACATTCAGCTCCCAGAGGCCCGAGGTCCACGCACCTTGAGTTCCCGCTCGGCCTGCTGCTTCTCTGCCGTCAGCTCCTGCAGCGAGTTCTGCAGTGCCTGGGACTGGCTTGAGTAGAACTCCCGCTCCTCCTCCAGGGCCCGTGAGCGCTCCTCATTCTCCTTCATCCTGAGGGCAGAAGAGGAACTTCCTTATGCTTGCCCATCAAAGGAGGGTCGCCCCTCCTAGAGACCTGGCTGAAGAAACCCTGAGCTGCTAGAACTTTCTGGGTCCAGAAGTCCAGGTGATGACAGGGTTGTATGTCAGTGAGGAAGCTTAGAGGCAGAGCACTGGAGTCCTGGGTCTAGGGCTTGCCACTTCTATGAACTCAGAGAAGTCCTATCCCCCCTCTGAGGCTGTGTGTCCTCATAGTGGAAGGGGCTAAAGGAATCTGCTCAACCAGCCTCAATGCACAGTTCTGTGAGAGACAACGGTCAAGTCAGATTTGATGAGTGAAGTTTCCTCTTAGGCAAAAGGAAGTGAGTGACCCATCTGGCTGATGCCAGTTAGAATGCAACTCCAGGTGTCCAGCTGGAGGAAGTCACCAGCCCCCAAGCTTCTTGTTGACTCAGGGGTCTTGAGCCCCTTACCGCTTCTCCGCTAGGAGTTTCTCCGCCAACAGCTGCTGTATCCGCTCTTCAATCTGCCTTAGGTTACTCTGGAGACCCCCACTGGCAGGTGGCTGCTCACTCTGATTGGTCAGTGACTGTGGCTGGTTCTTATCCTCCTCCAGCATTTCTAGAGTCTTCTTCTTCTCTATGGATAGTTCCTGGTACAGAGAAGGAAGAGAAAGCCCAGTGTTGGTTCTCCAAACCTGGCTGTTCTCCCCTCTCCAATCCAGGGAGTAATCCCTTCCTCTCTCATTCCTTTTTGAAGCACACCTGAATTGTCTCATTCTCCTGAGGTAAAAGGTCAAGATCTCCTTTCTCACAAGGCAAGATTACTCCTCAATCAGGAGGGTCAGGGAGGAACTCAGTGTGGCTTCCAGCACAGATGGCACCTACTAGAACCTGATCTCAAGGCTCAAGGGCACCATGACTTTCTGGGGGGGGGGGGTGTCCTTGTCCTCTAGCATGTAAGGAGGAAATGTATTGGGTTCATGTGAAAAATATCTAATAGGACAAGCCCAAGAGCAGATTTAGATGGTCTATGCATTCATCAGCTGGGATTTTACACTACACAGAATTTCTGAAGTTGATTATCCATGGGAACAACCTGCCATAATGTGAAGCGGGGAAAGAAAAATAAACACCACACACAAAGCTCCAGTCAGTCAAGAGGGACTACAACCCTTGCAGCCTTCAAGGCAATTCATGGATTCAGTAAACACATACGGGTCACACACCATATGCCAGCTTTGCTCCAGATGCTCATCCTGGGGAGGCCATTCAGACAAGGTCTAATGGAGTCCACTGTTTGGAATACACAGCCTAGAGGGTTCATTCCCTAACAGATATGCAAAATGCTGTGGGAACCCACAGGTCAGAAGGAGAATCAGGGAAAGCTGATGAAGAAGATACTTGAACTGAATCTGAATGAGAAGAGGTGGAAAAGATCTTCTGTGTAGAAGGAACAGTAGGGCCAAGGCATGAAGGATGAAAGAGCTTATCTTTCTGTGGCACATGAGCTCAGGGATTGGAGCAGGGGTTGGGGTATCTCTGGGGTGGGGAGGGGTAGCAGAGAGCGAGGGTGGGGCAGTGGAGGAGGAGAGGCTGGAGCAATTGCACACCAGGCTAAGGACTTTGCACTTTGTCCTTGACACAAGCCACTTCCCCTTCCCCTCATAGTTTCTTGTGGTATCAGATGAAGGTGACCTGCCAGCCAATTTCCTTTCATGCTCAATTTCACTCAGGAGCAGCTAAGTGAGTGAGCCACAACAAGGATGTGGTGGGTGACTCCACTGCCCTAATTGATCCTCCAGCAGTGGAGAAAGTGGATTTCTTGAGATCATGGTCATTGCAAGGTCAAGTTGGAATTTGCCCTCTGGGTCTGGGGAAAAAAAAACAGTTCCTGCTTTGGGCCTCCTATACTGGCTGGAGACCCTTTAGATCAGTGCCCCTCCCTGCCCAGTCCCCTGGCGGGTATACCCCACGCACACACACACAAATACTGTTGGAAAAATCAGCATCACATAGCTTAAACAACCAGCTCACCTCCAGAAACCACCAACAGTGGCCCCTTACCTCCAGTGTCTGCTGTAAGGACTCCGTGAGGTGCCTCAGTTCCTTTTTCTCTTGTTCCACACCCTTGAGGCATCTTGCAGTCAGTTCTAGCTCCCTGTGGGGACAGAGGGCTGGATACGGCAGTGCCCACCTCTCCCAACCTCTGCATACAGAAACGCTTCTGCTGCACCCCCAGATGTGGCTCAGAAGAGCCCTTGGATGGACAGTCCCTCTGCAATCCTGGGCCCCAAAAGCAGCTGCACAGCCTGGGGCTGAGAGGAGATCTCAGCCAGGGAGGCTTGGAGTCACTTGATCCAGGTACACGGGCATCAGTCAGGTGGGATAAACCTAGGGCTATCCCTAGGGCAGAGAGAAGCACTGGAGAAACCAAAGGGCTCAGCCATCCACCCCCAGCTTCCCTGGACAGTACCTGCTAGAACCCACACTGTGACATGGGACATGGCTAAGGCCCCTCTCTGGGATGATGAACTCTGAACAAGCCTTGGCCAGCACAGACTTTTACACCAGTTTCCCCTCCTCCTACTCGGAATATCTTTCACTTCTTCTGCTCAGTTTTCCAAATCCTTTCAAGGCCTAGCACCATCTAACCTCCATTCAAGCCCAACAAGCTCACTCGTACTTTAGTTCCCAAGACACAGGAAATCCGCCTTATGCTTTCTGGCACCTTACTGTGTTGTTGTGTTAATGTTCCCAGCTTCAGTCTGGTTTTTCCAACCATCAGATCATAAAATTTTCAAGGAAGAAAATTTATTTTGTATTCCAGTGTCTAGTAAAATTCTAGAAGCTGAGTAAGTGCTTGGCTTTTTACTTGATAAGATTCTCTGAGTTTCTCCCTCCCCAAAATATGTCTCATTGATTTCTATTGATTGATTGATTGATTGATTGATTGTGATACTAGAGATCAATACCAGGGGCACTCTACCACTGAGCTACATTCCCAGCCCTTTTCATTTTTTAAAAAGTCTTGCTAAGTTGCTGAGGCTGGGCTTGTGATCCTCCAGAGTAGCTGGGATTACAGGCGTGTGCCACTGTGTCTGGCTTTGATTTCCTTTTACAAAGATGTTGCAAGAAAAATTTGTCTGGGCTGATGATCAACAGTGAAGATGACAATGATGACCACTACTATCAACACTACCCAGAGCAGGAGTCTCCAAATTTCTGGTTGGGCTACATCTTAAAGGAGTGCTTTTTGAAAAATATAGATTTGGGGGCCCAACCTTCATGAGATCACAATGTGAAACTATATTTGCAAATGATATATGAGACTAAAGATCCCAAATGATATCATTAGCCAAAGTGTAAGAGCACTGGGGGTCTTGGCTAATAGCACCCATAGGCTCAGCCAGCTTGACCCTGACAGCTGGAGTAGGGGCATTTGTGGAGGCTAGAGGAAGGCCTCTCTGCTCTCACCCATGCCTCCTGCTCCAGTTCACAGCATTGCAAAAGGTCATTATCAATAGGCAAAAGCATCTATAGCATCCTCTGGGCATACCCAAGTCCTGGAGCATTGGGAAGAGAAACCCAAACCAAGTCAGCAGAGGTGTCTCCTGTGTGGAGGCCTCTCCAGGCTGGGCCAAACATGGTTCTGCCTGCCCTAAGCCAGGGCTACCCCTTCCCAGCCCCTCCTGGGCACCACCACCACCTCTTGATCTGCTCCTGCTCCACTCTCAGCTCCTGTACCACCTCCTCAAACTGCTGCTTCTCGGCTTCCAGCACCTGGTTCAGACGCTCAAGCTCCTGAAGAGAACCAGAGAGGAAGAGAAGAGTCACAGTGGGCAAGGGACCTCTGAGGTTGGAAGACCCCACCGTAACCCAGGGGACCTTCTGGAATTTAACTAAGTCTGGGACATAGGCTACACCAGGCTTGTATTTAGCTCTGAGGAGCCCTGTCCCCACCCAATGACATACAGTTTCAACCACCCCAAAATCTTTGGTGAATTTGGCTTATGAGAAGTTAGCAGGCTGAAGGTGGGGTTTGGAAATGAGCCGAGAGTGTGTCCTGTCCGTACAGATATGATCATAATTTTGGATGTCTGCTCTGTGGGGAGTTCCAGTCATGATTACCCTAAGATGAGGTTGGCTGTCCCTTGAGACTGGAGGGGAAAGTGGGGAGTATGCATTTCCATTTCTATGCAGATGTGAGTTAGAAGTGACATAGAAAAGCCATTCCCAACTCCAAAGTCAGAGAATAATGATTCTTTTTTTCTTGAGGCATCTGAGCCAGGTGCCTATAGCTTTCCTCTGTTTAGTGCCAAGGACTGGGGAGCCAGGCAACCCAGGACAGGTCCCAGGGGACCAGATAAGTTCCTTCAAGAAAGTCTGCAAGCCCGAGTGTTTACCCATCAAGTATGAGTTCCCCACGGATGTTTTTCTGGGGTTCCATGGCAGGTGATAAATTGTGGGGTACACTGTATGTGAAGTTCGGCTTGAAGGACTTTTGTGACAATTGCTTTGTTCCTCCACGTTTTGTAACCTGGGAGGATATTATTTCTACATCCAATTTCTCACCTTCCACCTCCAATTTACAAACTAATTTTCACCCAGGGGTTTTATTCTCAAGTATAAGGGAAACTCTCCCAGGGGGTGGGGCTGCCTAGAGGGAGAAGTGGCCTTTGGCTTTAAGAAGATGTAGAGAAGGAAAGAGTCTGATTCCAGACCACTTGACCTCAATTCCTAAATATCTTACAGATAGTTGTTATTCCTTTCCCACCGAATCATTAACAGCACTTCCGGTGTGGAGCACAGGTTTCCAACTGACCTCAGTTTGCCAAATGCCACCATCACCTGGGCTGCTCACTGGGATTCTGATGCTCCTCCTGGGCCCATGCATGGCTGCAGTGTACCTGCTACAGTCAGGCGGGCCCACAGGGCTGGCTAAGGCCAACGGACTATGAGCAGAAGTGTGTCATGTTCAGGCAGATGCCTTTAAGGTACAGTACATGACATGCTGTTTCCTTCCCCCTGGCACCTGGTGTCAATGCAAATGGTGGGGGCTCCCTTAACCTGGGTCCTTAGGAGTGAGGACCCATTGAGCAGAGCCTCCAGCTGACCCACGTAGCTGAGTGAGAAATACAGATGTGCTGTTAAAGGCTGCTGATGTTTTGGGGTTGTGTTTTGGGGCAGTAGCCATAGCCTCGCCTGGGTATATATATACACAATATGCTGTATACAGACACCATGTAAATACATTAAACATTTATTCATGTAGACCCTCCCTTTTTAATAAAAGTAAAATTCAGTGCTTCAAAGAAGTTTGATGCCCCTCCCCCTTATTTTAATAAATCCTCAGTAGTGACACAATATGACTCATGATGAAAAACCTCTCTGGCCTCAGATGTGACAAACCTGACTGATTCCCTCTCTGATGGCCTCTGCCTGCTATGGAAGAGACCTGGGAGATTTCAAGCTGCAAACATCACTGGGGGGGAAAAAATCACAAGAGCACCTGGCTCTTATAGGTTCAAAACTTCTGCTACTTCAAAAATGATCACCTGGTCTGGAGGCTGAGGCAGGAGGATCATAAGTTCAAAGCCAGCCTCAGCAAAAGTGAGGAGCTAAGCAACTCAGTGAGACCCTGTATCTAAATTAGATACAAAATAGGGCTGGGGATGTGGCTCAGTGGTTGAGTGTCCCTGAGTTCAATCCCTGGTACCCGCCCCCGACCAAAAAATCCCACCCAGGATCCAGCTGGAGGACCCCACCTCACAACCTCAGCTTGTCCTTCCCTGGAAAGCCCCTTTCTTTAAAACTCAACTTGCAAATATTTCCCCTTACTTAATATTATGCTATGATATCTTCATGTAGTTGAAAATGGGGAGGGTAAATGATTAAAGCCCCATTCTTCCCTCCCTAGCACTCAAGTGCTTCGTGATGCCAGCAGGCCCCAGCTATGCCTCCAACAACCAGAAAGTGAAATTAATTCACCAAGAAACAATAAGGCAAAAGGATCATTTGGCTTTTCTTCTCCCTTCCTTCCCTCTGTAGCCCCAGGCATATGCAATGTGATGCCTTTTCTACCTGAGTCAGTAACTACCTGGGCCCAGGCAGTGTTCATTGCTGTGTGAAAGGGCCAGAGGAAGGGTGCCTATGAATCAGAGCCCTCAGGGCCAAAGCAACTTTAAAGGAAATTCAGTCTTCATCAGATGGTTAAATCGCCTCCACTTGAGTGACAGGAAATCACTCACGATAAGAAATTTGCCCCTTTTTTAGACAGCCTCCTATTTTTTTTGTACCAAGGATTGAACTCAGGGACACTTAACCACTGAGCCACATCCCCAGCCTTTCTTGTTTGTATCTTATTTAGAGACAGGATCCCACTGAGTTGCTTAGAGCCTTGCCAAGTTGCTGAGGCTGGCTTTGAACTCATGATACTCCTGCCTCAGCCTCTGGAGTTGCTGAGATTATAGGCCATTTCACCTTTGAACAGATTGATAAAAAGATCTTCCTTACAAACTCTACCCCCCGGCAGGCTCAGGGCTGTCATTCTCTGAAAGCCACAAATATAAGTGCATTAATAAATGATAGATTTTGTTGAAATCTTGGTGGGACTGCAGTGAGAGTTACACCTCATTTATACAGCAAAATGTCCTCTCCAAAGCCCCTTAAGCCATCTCTGTCCTTTGCCCAAACTTTCCCTCCCTTCAGCAGCTACTGGGCCCCTGACCTTTCTCCGTCTCAGTCACATCTTCCTCCTCACAGCCTCTCTCCTCAGCTATGAAGCTGTGGATCCCAGACCGGAAGGTAAGAGCTAGCTGACAACCTCTTGCCAAACAGAATAAGAGCTAGTGGACAGTCCCTTGCCAAGGTAAAGGGCAGCAGCTTACACCTGGCCATTTCATGTTGCTCCAGCAAACCTAGAGAAGGGGAAAGGCCATTTCACTTACCAGTTTCATTTGAGCGAAGATTTGTCTGCCTCCCAACTTCTTCAATGTGTCTGACTTCTCACCCCATTGGGACCATAGAACAAGACTAATTTCTTTCCCTTCAAGTATTTAAAAGAGCTGTTATGTTCCCGAGTCTCCTCTCCTCAAGCCAAACAATTCCTCTTTGCTGTGCTTCACAGGACATGATTTCTAGTCCTCCATAGAACTAATTATACTCTTGGAAAGAACGCTGTGACATAGGCTCATAATTAGGAAGAATTAATACAGTAAAGATGCTTTGCAAATAATTTACAGGCTCAAAGGGATTCTAGCAAAAATCCCGGTGAAAATTTAACCTTCTATTTCTATTTATCGATGCTATACATATATATTGAGTGCTTCATATGTGTCAAATATCTGCCAGACTGAGGATAAGGAGATGCTCACATGGAGTTTATCATCTTGTACAGCTATTAACAGAATTAGAGAAAGATTTTAGATCAGATGCAAAAATCAAATATTACTAAAAGAATCAGACACATTAGAGTCTGACCAAAAGACATGGTATGCAGGACCAGGACCCAGTTCTATGGAAAGCTGTCCAAAGTGGGAGTAGGTCAGGGGAGAGGACGATCAGATGATTCTTAAACTGACTGACCACGGTGAATAAATAGGAGAGAGAGAAAAGAGCATTCCAGGCAGAAGGAACAGTATATGCAAAGACCCTGTGAGAAAAAATGAAGGGAGGCCCATAAGGCTGGGCCCAGAGTGAGAGTAAACACAGTGGAAAGAAGCTGGAGGGGCTGACAGAATCTAGACCATGCGGGACCTTGGACTATGCTGAGAATTTTGGCCTTTTCTCTTAAGGAAGATGAAGCAATGAAGGGGCTGGGGTTGTGGCTCAGTGGTAGAGTGCTTGCCCAGCATGTGTGAGGCACTGGGTTCTATTCTCAGAACCGCATATAAATATATAAGATAAAGGTCCATCAACAACTAAAATACATATTTTTAAAAAGACAGGAAAGTCTTTAAAGAAGAAGCAGCAGCAATGAAGGTTTTGAGCAGGAAGCAGGAGAAGATGGTGGGTAACGTGACCTAATTTCCATTTAAACAGTGATTTTGGCCGCAACATGCAGGAAAGAGTCTAAGGAGCCCAGTGCATTAGTCCAAGCAAGACCTAGTACCTAGTGGGTACCAGAGCTCAGCAGTGAGGTGAAAGTGGCCTGGTGAGTGAATTCCAGTCCTGGGGGGAGGACAACTCTAGCAGAATTAGGGAGTAAGGTGGAGAAGGGAGGAGGGAGGGAGAACAGGGTGTAGTATGACACCAAGTGTCTGACCTGCACAATCTGTTAATTGTTGTGCATTCCCTGAGACAGGAAGTACCAGAAGCCCGCCAGCTCTGCTGGGGAAGATCATGGATTTGGTCTTAGACACTCTGTGTTTGTGGTCTCTTTGGACATATGTCTGGAGATGTAAAATTAATGGCTGGGTAGAAAGGAATGGAACTCAATAGAGAGAAGGGGCTGGAGGGATCAACTTAGGGCACAAAAAAGTTAGGGAGTGTGGCCTGAACTGCCTTATGATCTAGTGCAGAGAGAAGGGAAGAACAGGCAGCATCCTCTGAAATGAGGTCTCTTAGGTCAATGCGAGGATTGCATAAATTCATCCATGAAAGTTGCTTGCACCATAGTCCGTGTTTAATAAATATTAATTAGTATTATACATTCAAACTGTGGAGTATCTTTTCAAGAGTAGACAGCAATTGCCAGGCACTGTTGTGCATACCTGTGAGCCCAGCTCCTTGGGAGGCTGAGGCAGGAGGATTGCAAGTTTGAGACCAGCCTAGGCAATTTAGAGAGCCTCTGACTCAAAAAT